TCATCGCCTTGTCTAAAGGTGTGTCCGAGAAGGATGCCAAGCCACAGGAGGTCAAGAGGCCACACTCTCCTCTGAAGGATGGGATGATGGGAATTCGGCCAAGTATGGCCACCATGGCGTCTCCGCAAAGGGTGCAGCTGCTGCCATCAGGGACGGGAGCTTCTTTCTCTGAGTATCCAGGAATGTACACCAACACCCGGGCCATCCATTCCCAGATCACTGAGACCTCTCCTTTTGGGGTCAATCAGGCACCGCTCAACATCACTTCTGCCTTAGTGAGTTAAACCCTATTCAATGTAATTTATCTCTGCACAATTTAATAATGTGGTAGAGTTTTGAATGATGTTTGAAAACCAACTTCTTTATACAAAAATTGCTTTGTTCTGGTCCTCAGGGTGCAGATCCCAGCCAGTCAAAAGCTGATGTCAAGGTGAAACAAGTTGGACAGCAACCTGTGAACATGGTGCAGCTGCTCACGGTGAGTCACTTGGACGAATGGAAATGGGGAATAAAGAGTGAATTAGAGAGAGTAGAGGGTAAAACCGGACAAAGACAACTTAACAGGGCCAGAGAGATATTTAGAATAAATTGCATTTTGTATCATTTTTCTCTGTTTGAGCAGAAGTACCCCATAGTGTGGCAAGGGCTGCTGGCACTGAAGAATGACCAGGCTGCTGTCCAGTTGCATTTTGTCTGTGGCAACAAAGGATTGGCTCTACGGTCACTGCCCCTACCAGAGGGAGGAGCGCTACTTCGGATCGTCCAGAGAATGAGACTCGAGGCGTCACAACTGGATGGTGTGGCTAGAAGAATGACAGTAAGTTTCTGGTCCTTGAATTGTTTACATTGGGATGAGTCCATTAGGGTTGGGCGATTTTTACGATTGCATCGTCTGTCGACGATGTTTGACGGCCGTCGACGATGGTGATGACATCGTGATGTCACAAACGATGGTTCAGCATAAGTGAACTTGGCTGCACTGCCGGAGTCTGGCAGCACAGTGCAGTGAGCACACAGCAGGGCGACATGCCAAATTGCCTATTCCCTAATTGCCATAGCCTAAGTAGTTAAGACTATTAACATAATGCAGGACAACAATGTAGATTGTAGAAAGAGCGGCGAGCACCAAAGCAGCGCAAGATGTCAGATAGGAGAAGAGAGGGGGGGAAAAAACGTTAGACCCTATGTCAGATGATCATGGGCCTTTTGCAGAGGACACTCAATTGTCTGGATAATTGTTTTAAAATCTTTTTTGCTTTTTCTCCCTAATCCCCATTCAATTTGAATGTGACTAGTTGGCCTAGGCATAGCCTACTCTCATGATCAACCATCGATTGAATCTATAGGCCATCTCAGAAAGTTGTTTATGAATAGCCTAAATAAGAACATAGTATAGTAATAACGAGAGAGGGAACAAACAATCGCAAGATAGACTAATGGAATAGGAAGTTCAAACAAAGCTGGTACGTTTCTGCTTTACTTGACCAAAGTGTAGGCAAAATAAATTGTGCCGTCGGAAAACCCCTCCTTGCAAACCAAACAGCCAATCATATAGGCCTACACATAGACTACTGTCAATAAAAGTTGCAGTAAATGTTACTTTGACAAATTCAACTTATAAACTAATATTTATAATATTGTCAGTCTTTATTAATGTCCTTGAATTGTGCAACGGGCAATCTTAACCCTTTACACTCGTGGGAATTGGCCTATATGGATAGGGCCAAATTGAAATGTTTCTTATAGAATAAATATGAAAAGCATGTGCATAACCATGAAAGGAAACAGTGTTTTGAGATTATGGGGAAATTATTAGACTAAAGGTGAGGGCACAACAGTTCACCTGACACAAGACTGAATCAAAAACATTACACTGTTGATTTTATGTGTATTTTACATTTACTGTACTTTTCGCCGCATTTTTAACGAAATCTGAACATGTGAGGTAGGTGCAACATAAGACATAAAATGACAAGGGTTTAAGTGAAAGGTGTAACTGGTGTCTCCAATTGGCCACACCTCCAAAGTCTGCACAGTTCCTAAGTCATTTCAATGCACTTTTATAACTCAGTCATCAACTATAAAGTGCTTTTCTGAGCTCTGCTAGCTGTGCCGTTGAGAAACTAAAGCAAGCTCACTTGCATCCCCGCCCTCAAACCGGTCAAATATAAATCGCAATATGGGTCAACATGACTAGCTAAGTTCTAAAATACGATATTAGGCTTTCACAATGCAATTCAGTGAAACAGATTATAATTTTGGTGTGTATACAAAGAAGTCATGAGTGCATTCAGGTTAGTGTGCCGTGTCAAATTTTCTTCACAATAGACAAACAGACTCATTCTCTTCAGCACAACCAAGGATATTACGCCATGTCATCTTGTAACTGTACATCAAACATAGTGGTCATAAACGATGACACTGTATATGACAAGTTTTATGTGAAGTGCACATTTGGACTCACTGGGGTTTGGCTTGCTTGTATGACATCAAAGCTGTATTTATTATAATCCTCAACGTCTCATCTTTCAAAATACATAGAGTCCTCTTAATTTACAGCATTTCCCTCACTCAGACAACCCAAAATGTGCTAAAGTTGCCTAATTAGCAGAAGGGATGAGGGCAACTTCTTGTCGCACGAGGTGCTCAAGTTCAGAACGTCTGTCAGTCAACCCACACAACCCACAAAAGGGTACGAGTGTAAAGGGCTACGCTCCCACAGCAGCACTTTCAAAAGGGGGGAACAAAAAAATGTATGAATGATGAGTCTTGCCCGAGTTGTTTCAAACAACTTTATTTTGAATAGCTTACAAATTGTGCATTTTATATAAAAGTCAACAACAATCAAATTATTTAGCCTATAACATTCCTTAACACTTGAATGAACATTGGCTTAGGCTAAAAACGAATAGGCCTTAGGCTATGCCTTTTGCCTATCGAACTTTAAAAGTCCTAAATATACAATCAGATAAAACAAATGATTATTTATAACATTCTTTATAACAAGGAACACCAACATGTTCACCCCCAGAGTAGCAAACTCTGCAGGATGACGGAGGTTTGTAGTCTGTCCATCCTTTTCCCTGAATATTTTTGCATATTCTGCAAGTGACTTGGGTCAGGTCTGCTGGCTCACCTTTATCCTTCGGCCTGAAACCAAAGAACTGCCAAACCGGCGAAGACGTGATTTTCTTTCCCACCAAGGCAGCCATCTTTTCTTCTGATTTAGCTAAGTGAAATCCTGTTACTTCCTCTCTTTTTGTCTGAAACTGTCAGAAAGTAGCCTAATGGAAGAAAGAATGTTGCAAATGTGCT